TTTTAAAAAATACTAACTAGTTAATATTTTATTACTTGAGAAATATTTTATGTTTTATATTATAAAGTAATTAATTTATTCTTTTATTTTTATATTTTGTTAATTCTTTTTTATAAATATTTTATTTGAAATATTAAATGGAAATTATTAATGGAATAATTTATATTAATATACTGTATTATAATAATATAATATTACTAATATATTATATTATTAATGTACATTAGTCAACATCCTGTTGACATAATAGGAAAAACTGCCTTTTTTTTGGTTATTTGGACCGATTTGGTCGACATTTCCGAAATATAGGACATGTCAACCGAAATAATGTAATTTTTATATTACCATCCATTTTCATGTCGGTGAGCCTCGACATCGACATATGTCGGGCGACATTAGCGACATTTCGCGACATTTGAAACCATGGTTGGTGTATAGCTTATATTGTTATTTAGTTGTAAAATATGTTCCAAAACCTGTTTTCCACTAATTATTGTTCTATTCTATTTTTATTATTATTACAGTCATTTTGCAGTTGTGACTTTCTAGCTTAAGTTATCTTATGAGCAAGGTTCTCTATATGACTAACATATGGATTTATTATGTTGTGTAAGTAGTAAGACACAAGATTGAATTTAGGATATTTTCCCTTCTTATTAATATAAAGCATTTTAAATTTCTTGCAAAATATGCAGATTGCCAAAGAACATGGTGGCATCATGAGATTTATACAAGTTTCTTGCTTAGGAGCATCTACATCATCACCCTCCAGAATGCTAAGAGCTAAAGCTGCAGCAGAGCAAGCAATTTTGAGAGAACTACCTGAGGTCAAACTTATTTTCTTGGTTCCTTCTAGCTTGAGTTAATAATATTTATCTTTACAATTCCTATTGAAATTATGCTACAAAGAACCAGTGACCATTCTACATATATTCAATTGCTCGATTTTGGAATTCTCTATTGTCAGATCTGACACAAGTTATATTTTACTTTCTTTGATATGAAAACGGTCTTAAAGCCATGCACTTCTAGATGGGGCAATTAATAATCTTACATAAAAAAGGGGCAATTAGTAATCAGCCAAGAATTGAAATCTGGAAACCACCTGAAATAGGGAAACTAAAAAACTAAATTTCAATAGTTGCAGCCTTGGTAATATTTTTGTGGCATTGGTGGGATGTTTAGTGATAGGAGAAGTCCAAATAAGATTTAAGATTTTCTGGTCCTGCTGGGTTAGGAGACTCTCTTAAGGGCAGAATTGATGGCGGTAATACAAGGATTAAAGTTAGCACAAATGAACGGTTGGAAAGATTTCATGGTGGAAGGGGACTGTTAGGTGGTTTTGTCTTGGCTGCAATTAGGAGATGTCATTCCATGGATATACTGATACCCAGTCAGGGGGAAGCCAAATCCTTAGCTACAATCTTGAACTACTCATTCAGATGGATTCCCAAAGAGTGCTAATGAATTGGCTTATGGACTCGCCAAAGCACGGACTTGAAGGCAATCTTTAGAATGGGGGTGTCTATGTCCTAGGAACAATTTGTATTGTAATATGTTAGTGAGATTAAACTGATAAGCATACATACATATGTTAGTCAGATTTACATATGTTAATTTGTATTTTAATATGTTAGTGAGATTAGTCAGCTTCTTGCTGTTTTGTAGTTTCTGATGCTGTTACCACTTGAGTTAACATGTATTTCTTTTCATGTGTCAAAAAGAAATCTTGTACAGCAGGGCATTTTCCTCATTACAAAGAAAATTTTGAATTACTGTTGCTTTTGAAACAAAAAAAAAAGTGCATCAGCTATTCTTCTCCAGTTGTAGTTTAGGGGTTGCTGTAAGTAGAAGTTTGGGGGGGGGGTCTCCTGTTGTAGTTGAGGGGTGCTTTGTCACATGTCCACTTGTACATTAATTCCTATTCTTTGTCTATATTTTAATAAAAAAGTTATCCATAAAGAAGAAGCATCAACTATTCTTCTTTATAATCCAGTATGTTGGTAAAAACACCCATGTCTTGATGGCACAATTAATGGTTATGCAGCAAGGGATGAGACTTGCTAAATCACTGAATTACAGAAGCTTGGTGGTAGAAAGGGTTCATATATTATTTTGATATGGGTTATGACAGGTAGTGTTGGAACTTGGAAGTTGTAGCCTTGTAGGTATAGACATGCAATTAGGGAGTTTAGGAGAATGATGAGAGAGTTGAAAATTTTGGTGGTCTTGGTATTGTGAATATTCAGATGAGGAATGTGGCTCTTTTGGAAAAATGGCTATGGCGACTACTTGTAGATAGGGGCAAGCTGTGGTCGAAGCCTCTAAGGTGGTAATAAGCATTTATAGACTTGTGGCTAATGAGTGGGATGCTGGAATTCTGGCTAGGTCTACCAGAATTTCTCCTTTGAAGGCCATTCATGCTATTTTACCCTTGTTCTTACCTTTTATCAGGTACAACCTGTGTTTTGGGAACCTTATTAAATTCTGGGAACATGTTTGGGCAAGGAACTCTCCTTTGAAAGACTGATTCCCCCGCTTTATTTTCTCTCTTTGGAAGGGTAATGTGGATAGCCACAAAAGCAGCTATCCTCTGGTCTATTTGGGAAGAAAGAAATAACAGAATTTTTCAAGGGACTGAAAGATYCACGGAACAAGTGATTGACAGCATAACTATCAAGATTATACACTGGCTGAAAATGCTTGAGCTATTCCGAGACTACTCGGTTAAGGACATTCTTAGAGGTTGGGCTGTAGTGGGAAATTCTTCAACTAGAAAGAATGCGATTCAGGAACAATAGATCCCTTCAGCACAACAAAGGGTAAAGTTGAATTTTTATGGGAGCTCCTTGGGTAACCCGGGCCCCTTTGGAGTTGGGGGAGCTTTCAGAAATAGGGAGAGGAGACTGATTGCACTATATTCTGGACCTACAGGTGTGGGCAATTCACTAAGAGCTGAAGTACTGGCTTTACTTCAAGGCTTGAGGCTGGCTAAGCAATGGGGACTGCAAAACGTTGAGATTGAAGGAGATTCTAAGTTACTATTAGGCTGGGTGCAAACAAACAGCCTGGGGGCTTGGAATTATAGACGGCAAATGAGGGGAATTTTCTGCTTAGCAAGGGAAGTGGGGGCAAGCTTCAAGTGGTCCAGGTCAGCCAATGGTCTAGCTGATACTTTGGCAAAGCAGTGAACCTTTAGGGAAATTCTCTTTTGGGCTGTGTTGTAGACATTGAGATAAACTAGGGGGTCAATACTCTTTGTGGGTAGTTGACAGTTTGTACTACTTAATATAATGCTTCAATGAAAGTTACCTTTTCCAATAAAAAAGGATGAGCCTATTTTGACCTTCATTGTTCTTTCCAATTTGAGAACTGGGGTTTGATTGGGACTTGGGATTTAGGAGGGGTCTTAGGAGATTTTGAACTAAGCATTGTCCTAGCCTTACTTCATATCCTTGAAGGGCTTTTCTTGATCTTTCTAAAATGGATAGTCAAATTTGGACTGTCTCTCCCTCTAGCTCTTTCACTTGTACTTCTTTCTTTAGGCTGCATTTGTTTGTGGTGTAAAAGTTCATCAATGGAGTTCAACACCGATCAGTTTAAAATTTGTGAACCGTTGTACTTTGAAAAATGTGATTATTGATGTAAATATTACATCAATTTTATCGATATTGTATTTACATCGATTATCTATGTAAAACTCTATCATTAGAGAATTTTACATTGATTTACAATGTAAAACTACACTCCATCGAAATGCCGGTAAGTATGGATCGGGAGTGGAGTTTTACACCAATCGTTAATTACACTGCAAACAAATGCCAACAAATACGAACCAGGAGTGGAGTTTTACATCGGTCCACATTTACACCGCAAACAAACACAGCCTTAAGGCCTTAATTTAACCCCATGATAGTTTTGGACAACCTTTTCCTATTAAAGAGGCGTGGAGTAAGCCTATCCATCCCAGGATTGGAGGTTTTTGCTGGAAAGCATTTTTTTTTTTTGGAAAGAACAAATACCCGTAATCTGCTCCAAAGAAAGAGGTCCAATTGATGCTTATCCTCATTGGTGTGTTATGTGCAAAGCCAATGGTGAGACTTGTTATCCCATATTAATCTTCTGACCTTTTGTAAAGTATATTTGGGAATGGTTTGTCTCTTTGTTTGGGTGTAGGTGGACTCCCTTGTTGAATGTGTAAAACTTGTTTGCCTCTACAGATTTTAGTTAGCCAAAGAAAAGGAGAAGAATAATGTGGAGATGTACAAGGGCTGCTGGTAGTTGGACTATATGGGAAGAAAGGAATTCAAGAATCTTTTACAGGCAAGGAGAGAGGTGGAGAAGCAATTATTGAAGCTGTTAATTAGAGCACTCTATTGGGTAAAGTCCTTGGAAATACTTGATGACATTTCAACAGATGACTTGCTTAGAAGTTGGAAGGAAGTGGTGGGTTCAGCCCCTTGTAAGGTTGTAACAAGTCCCCCTTAGTCTCCACCAGTTAGTGGGTTCATCAAACTCAACTTTAATGGAAGCAATGCTGGTAAGCCAAGTCTCTCAAGCATCGGAGGTGTTTTCAGGAAGGAGGGTAAAATAATTGCATTTGTTTTTTAGCCCCAATTGGTGTAGGAGACTTCTTAAGGACTGTAATTATGGCTGGAAGGTGTACGAAGGGCAAGGGATACAGGCATTAAAAAGTTGATTATTGAAGGAAATGCCAAGCTAGTGGTGGGTTGGCTGCAAAAGGAGGAAGCTGGATTTTGGAATTATAACAATGAAAAACAGAAATTCAAATGGCTGACACAAGATATGGAAGTAAGCTTGCAATGGGTCAAAAGAAGCGCTAATTCTTTCTCTGATGTACTAGCAAAACGAGGGGCGGGTAGAGATCAACTTTTTTGGGTTCAATTGTAACTTTAAGAAAGAGGTTGGGGGAGAGTTATGGGGGCTTATCTCTTTTTATTTCTATTCTTAATTGTAACTTTAAGCAGTGGTCTTTGGAATACAAAAAGCCATGGAAATAGGTTTGAGAAAGCTGGTTGTAGAAGGCGATTCCAAAGTAATTATAAGCTGGCTAAAGCAGAACGGAAAGACTCCATGGGTGTTCAGAAATGAGATCAAGAATGAGTTCTCAAGGCGACAAGGCGCCTTTTGAGGCTCACCTCACCTAATCGCCTAGCAGTTTTCTACTTCCTACTATAAAATACTTTTTTATTTATTCTTTTTTGAGATTATAATTATAAAATAGACATTATTAAACTAAAATAATCATTTTGTATGTTTATATACTAATTTCTTTTTATTATTTTCTTATTTATTAGGGTTTAATCAACACAAACATTGCTAAATGCTGTATTGAACTTTGAACCCTCAAAGACTTAAAAACCTGAACCAATAAGTAAGGAAAAACTAAAAAATTTATCTAATCAGCACATTTTCCTCTTCCATATATTCTTCTTCTTCTTCTTCTTCTTCGTCTTCTTCTTCTACTACCAATACTTTTTATTTTCTTCTTTTCCTATGACAAAAATAAGGGTTCAGCCCCTATATTTTTTGAATTTTATTTTCCTTCTTCCTTTTCTTCTTATGAATATGTTGATTTTCTATACTTTAATATGAAATTTATACTTTTCTTATGTAAATCATGAACAATTATTAAAGAAATATGGTTATGGTACCTAGGGAACTACCCTAGGATCTATGTTTTTAACATAAAAAATCCATTGCCTAGGCGACTAGGTGACAAGGTGCCCTCCAGTCGCCTAGCCTCGCCTTGGCGCCTTGAAAACTATGCATGCAGTTATTATTTCAGTGGACTCCAAGAGCAGCAAATGGGTTTGCGGACCAGGTAGCGAAGCAAGGGGCTAATAGGGAACATTGTTTTTGGGCTCAGTTGTAAAGCTGTAAAGAAAAATCTTAGGTGGAAATTTTAAAGTCTAATGGGGTAGCCGAGGCTACTCAATTTCTGTACTAAATTCTCATCTCATTTTTCTTAATAAAATCACCTTTGCTGATAAAAAAAATGATGTGGCCTCATTGGTTCTGGTTATTCCTTTACTTTTTCTTCTTTATAAGTCTTGACTTACTGTTTTCTGTTTGAATTGCTGTCAAAATGTTACTACCATTCCTCTAACCTGAATTTTTAATTCACAGGCCACAATCATGAGGCCTGCTGTCATGATTGGTACAGAAGATCGGATCCTAAATAGGTGGGCACAGTTTGTGAAAAAGTGGAGCTTTCTTCCACTTGTTGGAGATGGATCTACCAGGTTCAACTTGACCTACTTTTTTTATTGTTTCTGTTGGTTTCACTTTACCAAGTTCCTACAAATTCAATGAGAATAATCACTTGTAAGTGTTTTCTTTTGAAATTTATGTTATACTTCGGTTAACAACTATTTGCAGAATCCAACCAGTATACGTTGTCGATGTTGCTGCTGCAATTTTAGCAGCCTTGAAAGATGATGGAACCAGCATGGGTAAAGTTTATGAACTTGGTGGTCCTGAGGTTTTCACTGTACATGAACTGGTAACTTTCTCCTTAATTACTTCTGCAATCATGGGTAGTGTATTGTCACTCATCTGTTAAGCGTGCTGCAGGCAGAGCTGATGTTCGACACGATCCGTGAATGGCCTCGATATGTAAAGGTTCCTTTCCCTATTGCAAAGGTAGGTAGTATAGCCCAATTAGTCAACTTCATTGAGGCTTTCAGGAAGTGTGCCAAGAACAGAATTTCTCAGTAAATCTATATATTTGTTAATGTGCCAAGCCCATTTTTCATTTATTGTTGCTATCATGTAATAATACCTGTTACCTCAGATTTAAACTCCCAGTTTAGTCTAATGGGTATCAGGAAAAGGTTCCCTACGTGGGTCAAGCAGGGAGCCTTTCTACATGATGTATGTATTTCTGTGGAGGATTGATGTGGCCGCTCCAAACCTTCCATCAGATAGGGGACCTCTGGATCAGCCATTTATCCCGATCCATCAACATGAGCCTTCACCCCATTTTGCCTTGATTCTTTCCCTGTATGACATTGCATGTTCAAGGTTACAACCAACCTAGTGGCTTTATCCTAACATAAACTATATTTAGTTCTCTCCGTGATCGATTGCATATGTAGTGGAAATTCTTGTAGTACTGTTTTTAGTTTTGACTAATTATTTTTAATTGTCTTGACTACTAACTGTTTTGAATCACTGCAGGCCCTTGCATCTCCTCGTGAATTTTTACTAAATAAAGTTCCATTTCCTCTACCCACCCCTGATATCTTCAATTTGGATCAAATCAATGCTCTCACTGTAGATACAGTGGTGTCAGAAAATGGTTAGTGCTGTTATTCCAGGAATGGAATTAATAATTAGTTTTCTTTCATGAAATTGTACATTACTGTTCTTTCATCAGTCTTTCCCCCAATTATGTTTGCTATATACTTATATTCTGGTTATTTTTCATTCTTTCCCTCCAGCTTTAACATTCAACGACTTAGGAATTGTGCCTCATAAGCTAAAGGGTTATCCTGTCGAGTATCTGATTTCATACCGCAAGGGTGGTCCACAATTTGGTTCGACGATCAGTGAAAGAGTATCTCCAGATTGGCCATAAGGTTGTGTAGATCTTTACTTTGCAACTAGTTTCTTTTCTTTCAGTGTTTGCGGCCTTAGCTGTTCCTAGAATTGTGACCTCCGAAAGCTGTTTCGAGCACATTACAAGGTCATCAAATAACTATTTTTGTACTATTTATTATGAAAGCAATAATGACTGGCAAGTCCCATCTCTGAAACTTGTTATCATTATGAACAATGAGGAATCTCTCGCTAACAAAGGAAGTCATTAACGACTGGGCATTTATTATTTCTTTCCGTGGAAAGAGGCCAGAAGGCAATGTCAATGAATGATATATTTCAGTTTTTCTATTGCATTTTAGTTTATAAGCTGGCTAGCTGAAATGGGTTGTTTACAGAATGTTAAAAAAAAAGGATAAATTCGGCTCTGTTTGGATAAGCTTTTGCCTTTGAGCTTGGGCTTGGGGCTGTGGAAAACAAACTTGAGCTAAGTGTGTTGTGCATTTGGTAAGAGTTGGTTTTGAAATAAAAACGTTATCTTAAGCCAAAACACCTTTTAAACTTCAAACCCCAAAATCTTGAAGCTTATTCAAATGCAAGTTATGCAACCGTTATTTCTTGTAATCCTAAATTTATCTCCATTTCTACCCGCCCACGGTTCCATTTTAATATTCAAGTAGATAGCTAGATGCAGGTGGTTTCCTGATGCCTTGTAAGAATTTGCAGTGCTGATATCAATAGGATTAGGCTTATATTTGACACTTTCTAGGTTTTGGAACTTGACAGGTATATGGAGTGGCCTTGTTAATCGTTATATTGAGATTAGCTAGGAAAGAAAGGAATGAATAATCCAGGAAGATCCATGTCCAATGTCCAGTGATAAGGAACAGGTATTTCTAATGCTTCTTGGTCGTGTGTTTGTTAAAATGGGGAAAAGATGAAAGTCACCTCGGGTCCTTGGCCTTGTCAACATTCCTTGTGAAGGGAATTCTTTTGGTTTTGTGTTTTATATTAACTTTTTTCTTTCCCACCTTTGATTGGGTTTAGTCGTTTGAATGCATTTCTTTTTATTCCTCTTCCTCATATTCCTTTCTCGTATTGCATTTTTTATTTATTAACATTTGGGGTGGGGGTGGGGGGGGGGGGGGGATCTGTTCCTCACACAGCGCACCTTACAGGCACATCCCACCATGTATCGAGAACATCTCCCGTACTTATGAGTAAAATGGTCCAAATCCAACGAAAGGAGTGGCCCATGCAGTGTTAAATTGCTCAACCTGTTTTTTTTTGGTATTACATGTTACATGGGGATTAAGGGGTGGGGACAACCATCTCAGTTTCTGGGAGCTCACATCCTCTGCATCCATGTTGCAGAAAATTTTCTACAACTGCAAATGAATTTGTGCCACGTCATTCTTGTTTATAACCATTAAACTTAACGGAGTCAAGACCGTTAATGGACAATTGGACTAAAAACAAATCCCGCTTCTCAAGTTTCAAATCTCTCCAGTCTCCCCTCCAACTCCTCTCTCTCCAATCGCCTCTGCCTCTCAGAATACCGCAACCGTGAAGGTCTACTGCTGCAAACACGTAGTGTCACCGTCTCCGCTTCTTCTGTGAACGTTGTTCTACTTCTGGTTTCTGTCTTTCATCCCAACTCCATCATCTAGTCAAATAAAACAAGCCCAAGCCATGCCAGTAATGGTCTCTCCTATTGCGCAGACCTCATCATAAGACATGATCATACTAATTTGTATAATTGAGTGTCTAGTTCTCTCATCCAAAAGCAAAAAAAATGAGATTTGACGGCATCACTAATTGTTAAAAACAAAAGTTGAAGCTTAAGCCATTTGAAAAACAAGATTTAAGAACAGCTTATCTCTATGCTTAAGCCACCTGAATTCACTCATCCACTCTCTTCTATTGACACTGCGATGAATTGAAAATCGAAAAGTCAATCCAATCCTTGAGAAAATCCTTCTTGCCCCATATTCCGGTATCCAAACAGGTCTCCGTCTCTCTTTAGTCTCTCACATCCAGAAGCCTTCGGTAGCAATGGAACAACATTTACGGGTTCCTTCTGGAAGGCATTGACGACAGCAAAGGGAAAGGGGCATTGTGATTCAGCAACCAAACAGTCCTCATCCCGCTCTTGGGTTTTAGTGCGTTCAAAGGTGTAGGAATAAGACGATTGGTGTTACTTTGACTCGGGTGACTCGTGTTTTTTGGGTACTTCTCTAAAGAATGAGAACAATCAAGCCTTGTTTCTGGGTTATCTTTGCTTTCTTATTGAGTGCAATAGTATTAAAGAGGAGTGGGCTTAAAGATTTCATGGATCTTTTCTATGTGACGCTCCACGGTTGTAGCGGCAGACCTTCACAAAGCTGCAGAAATCTGAGAGGTGGGGTGGTTCGGTGGTTGGAGAGAGAGGACTTTGAGCTCAAGAGGGAGAGGCGGGGGAGGGATGAAACTAAATAGGGGAGAGATTTGAGAGGCGGGATTTTAGGTGTTTCAATTTTTTTAGAGTGTAGACATCCCGTTAACAGTCTTGACTTCGTCAAGTTTAATGGTTGTAAGCAAGAATGACGTGGCACAAATTCATTTGCAGTTGTAGAAAATTTTCTGCAACATGGATGCAGATGGGAGCTCAGTTTCTGGGTCATCTGCAACAGTCTTGGAACTGGGTGTTTACTTTTAGGCTCCCTTCAGGAGTACAAATACAAATACAAAGAGCGTAAAATCTTATATTTTGCTTTATTTTATATGCATTTGTATCGTACATATTTATATTTATACTCCTTCYAAACTGAGCCTTATTAATCCTGATTTAGTCCTCACAAAGTTGGTCCTTGCACCTCCTCACAACCTTTCTCAGCAGTGCATTGGAAACATAAAAATATCTGAAGAAATTTCAATGCACAGCTGTGCAAGTTTCGTATTGTGTTTTGTGTCAAGATACTTAGCTTTTTATTCCCATTAACCAGTCGGAAAACCACCCTCGTTTAGGGTTTTATGGTAAATTCAAATGACTCATATGTTGTGACTCGAAACACCATGTGAGTATGTGATCATAAAAAAAAAAATGTGTCATAAGTTTAGACACCGCAAGCTATCTTCAACCGAACAGCGGCCTCGTGAAAGTTGATGAAGCATTGCCATAGATGATACATCTCGTGTTTTCGTTTTCTTTTTCCAAACCCAAGGGAGTATATTTGCTTGGGCCTTTTGATTTTCAAAATCGAAACAAAGCTAAAATCTCCACCAATGAATTTGAAAATGCATGATCTTGATTTCACCCATTGAATTTGAAATTCCGCTAAAAAAGTGAAACGCGGCAACAAGTCCTGCCTATCTCTACCAATTCATTGATCAAGCCAAACGCCAATATTCATGAAATCATTGAAGTCGTGGATGCATGATTATATATTTATATATACATTTTTTTTTTGTTACAATTAGAGCTGTTAATGGACTCCGAAAGTCTGATGTTAGAATTGATGTTTGGATGTGAATTTAATCCCATCTAACCCTATAACTGATAAATTTAATATTTTATATTTATATAAATTTATTGTATGTATAAGGTAATTATTTTTTTTTTTTTTTATTTATTTAGCTCCCCAAGTCCTCATGACGAATTTTTTGTTAAATTAATTTTTTGAATTTAACATGGCCCAAGTTGGTGAGAATATTCATCAATTCATTAGTTTCTCTGAAAACACGCTTAACTCTTAAAATTATAGGTCTCCAACGTTCTCCAAATGCATGGTTTTCAAAACCGGACCGGAAAAATGGAAACTGGCCAGGTGATTGGTTCCATTTTCCTCCAAAATCAGAATTTTTCCAAAAAAACATTGATTTGGTTAGCAAACCGCTGACCCGGGCATTTGAACTGTTCGAATCGTTTAATGGTTTTGACCGTTTTTATTTTTTTATTTTTTGTCAGAATGGGCCATCCATTTGATTCGAACGATTGGATCATTTGACCCAGGAACCAGACCCTGACCGGTTCGTTGTCCAATTCGGTTTTAAAAACGTTGTCCAAATGTCATTAATGATGGTTGAAATACAACAAGATGGTGATGACTTCTTTTCGATGCAGTCAATGATGAATTTTGAGTTCCACTCAAGGGTAGTGTTAGAATTGCCACTTTTACCGCTTCCTTTTCTTTTCATGCCTTTATCACATTGATGATTAGGGGTATCAACAGTATTGGAAAATCCGATTTTGAATTCGATATTCGACATAATCGAATCGAATTCGGATATCCTATTCTTACTGAATAATTAATTAGATTCGAATTCAGATATGACCTAATTCGATTCGATAAATATCTGAATTTGACCGATTATTCAATTCTTATATATAATATATAAAATATTTTATATAATATATATAATAATTAAGTTATATAAACAATTTATATATTTATATACTTTATATCAATAAAATATTTATTTTATATATTTATTAATTATCTAAATTAATTAATTAATCAAATTTGAATCGAATCGAATCGAATATTGAATATTTAATCAGATTCGAATTCGGATATTAATTTTCAATGTCCAACGGATATCGAATTGGATTTTCTAATCGGATTCGAATTCAAATATTGCCTGATCTGATTCGAATTCGATCTGTTTACACCCCTATTAGTGATGTTCACTTGGTACATATCTTCTTACATTAATTATCACCAAGGTTCAAAGTATCAAGACTCTATTGAAATTCTGTATCAGTATATCAAGTGTACGACACTCGGTATTTTAATACTTTTTTTTGTCCCATCTTTCAGGAATAATAACACTTGGAGGGTTTTTAACCAAGGTTTTTAAAATCGGATCGGACAGGGAACCGTTTTGGGTCCGGTTCTTGGGCTGAATTGTCCGACCGTCCGGTCTGAATGAACAATCCGCTCTAACAGAAAAATTTTAAAAAATAAAAAAATAAAAAATGGTTAAAAAAATTATTCAGGTCAATGGTTCAATCGCCTAGGTCAATGAACCGCTGACCAAATCAATGGTTTTTGGCCAAAAAGCAACTTTGGGGTAAAACAAAACTGATCAGGTGATTGGTTCCCAATTTTTTCAGTCCAATCCAGTTTGAAAACCATGTTTCTAACATTTAAACCCATACAAACCCTCTAATTTCATATTTAGCATTTTAGTGACCATGAAAATTGATATGTATCATATCGATGATATGGTGATATTTTGAACCTTGGTTATTGATGGAGGGTGATTTGACTTGACACCTTGAGATGACAACACGTGGACATGACTCAGCACGAGCAACAACTCAGCACCACAGCTTGACCGCGACTAAGTAACAAGCCCACAGG